TATGTAATTAACAGTCAAACTGAGATTTAGTTACAAGGACGATTCATGGCCCTTGTAACTAAATCTCAGTTTGACTTTTTGTGCATTAAGGTATGGAGTAACGAACCATGTTCTTTTAACTACTAACATAAAAATCTGAAAGGGCAACATCTGAAGTACTTTTTGTACGTAACAGATAGTTTCTTTTAGTGATATTCGTCACGCTACTAATACTTTCCACAATAAGGTCCTGGCATCGACTCGAACTGACTTTCAGAAATGTTTCAAGGGGTATTATTTCGAAGGAATGTTACTTTTTTTGAAAGTCTTAATCAGTGAACGACCTTCGAAACTACATCTATAACACAAAGATTTCTGAAGGTTATTACCTCAACGCAACGCATTTCTAATGGTATGTTCTATTCTTAGATATGTTGTAAATTCGGCTAATTTTGGCTGAAATTTGTTCTAAAATTAAGAATTTTAAGCTTATTTCTTTATTTAATGCATATCTTATATGCCTCTTACACATCAAAGATGTGCAATGTGTCTCTCCTCCTCCAAAATTAGTGGCCGAGTGAATAAAACAACTAACCACTGGTCGTTTGTCGTGGATTCACACCTGATCAACGAGCTTACCGAGTGGAGGTTTTCGGGTTTTCTTCGTGTTCTAACATCTAAAAGGAGACCGGTTTTCTGTAGAAATACTCCTGGAGTGCGATCAACCAAGAGGGGCGTTGCGTTGCCATACCTCATAGCTCCACTCCAAAATTGAATTATTTCATTATTCTTTATGGACGAAAAGACAACATTTTTAATAAATTCTCCATTTAGAGCATAGAATTTCCGTTTTTGTACCAAAAAGTTTTGTATTTACGCGCTCTCATTTCGTTTTCTGGTAATTTTAACGTATAAATTAATTTTAAAAGCTAAAAAAATCGAAAAATTTAATTAAATTTTCTACAATTTAAGCAAAAAAAATTGTTTATTAGAATGACTAAGGAAACAGAAAATATCGCTAAGCGGATATAAATCGTAATTTCCTGTTAATTTAATAACTTTTTATCATAATACCGGAGAATGGGGAAAGATGACATTTTTGTAATAATTCCTGATTTAAATTTTATATTTAGAACTCAGAAACGTAATTTTTATGTATGACAAATAATTAAATTTTCTTTAAACAGCAAGCATTGCTTTATGTTCTGTCGCGTCGCCTCGCATCGCGCTTACACGCGATGCGAGGCGACGCAACAGAAGAAGCATGCAAAAATTTACGATAAGCCGGTTTCTAAAGTCATAAATATACGTCATAAGTGGAAAAGTGAAAGTTACTTATACGTCACTTCCTTTTCGCTCGACCGTGACTAAAAATGACAGATTTTTATTGACTGAAATTAAATTCAGTTCTTTTTATATTATGTAAACACTCCATAAAAACTTTTCCCCATAAATTATAACTTAAAACATTCTTTATCACTGATTTTTTAAAAATTTTTGCGGTTTCTTGATTTAAAAATATAGTTGGAATCGGTCCAATATATTTATTAATTAATAATTTAAGAGGTTGAATAACCTTGTTCAATATGTCCAGTATTGGCTTCAGACTGCTTTTCTGGAGGGCCCAGGTTCGAATCCTGGATAAAATCTCATATACTTTCGTGGATAGTTTGATCCGGATGTGTCAGGCCTCTACTTTCATTATCCTATCACTTTCCCGAGAGCCTAGTTAAGCGATGGGCACACAAAAAAGACATTTTAGTATCATCTAACATTCTAAAAATAGTATTTGCAGTGACACGTTTGAGTTAGGCCCGTCCCTCATCACCTGGCATGTCATACTAGATTGCTGAAAAGGCCCTACTAGCGTTCACAAGGAGGAAAGAGTCAAAAATTGAAAACATGTCTCAATTGTATGAAGTTTCCCTGTTTCACAATATCTAGCTTCTATTGTTAAGATTCAATTACAGGAAACTTTTCTGGTAATTTAAAATTTTAAAATTTTTCAGGCAATTTATCATTATTTATCTCATAAAAAACAAATTTTAAGGAAATTTATATAAATTTTTTCATTTCTTGTCAATCAAGAAAATTTGTTTTGAACATTTACTTTGATTCGTAATGAGTCAATTTTATAAATGATATTTTGGCTTAAAACTCGGGATATTGTGATTTATCACTAATTATAATCATGAAGGAAGTTCAAAATATTAACATTTTAATATGATTTATTACCTTTTTTTTTATGGTTACTGATTACTTCCGCTGAAGTCGAAAACGGATCCATAGAAGCACGACACATTTCTATATTTCCACACTCGAGCAATTTATTATTTTTTTTCTTAATGGTATAGCTATGTTTTTCTAATAGGCAGGGTTGTAGTGTGTAGTGGAGGGTGTACCGTGATATACCCTCTACTTATATTCTGTCTACTAGTACAGTACAACAAACTTTTTACGAAAAAAGGGGTATTTTTTCATAGTCTCTGGTTGCACGAGTTTTTTTATAAGTAGAGTGTTAATTAATAATAACAAGTTTATTCAAATTAGCACCTTCATTTTTTACAAATCATTACTCGTTTTCTTCTTTCAAGTACCACTTTTACGCTGAAAGGGAGAATCGTAAAAATGTCGTCTACCTTCTGCTGATTTTACGACTACCCGGTCGCTTAAATGCCCGGATGATGAGGACAGGGTCCGCATAGATACCTCCGAAAAATTTCTGAGGGTTTCCTTATCCAGACTCGAACCCGAATTCTCCAAAGCTTCAGACTGACGTCTGAAACATGTCGAACATTCCGCTATTCCGCCATTTTTATTATTTCGTTTACTTAATATTATACTGTCTATGGGTATCATTGCTCGGTGAACATTCATATTAGGTTCCACTGGTGGTCTAGTAAATAAAACCATTGAACTCTGGTGGTTTGTCCCGGATTTACGCTTGACCAACAGCCTAATCACTTGGAGTTTCACGGATTTTTACACGTGTCTAACACCTAAATAGGGGGGTCAGTTTTCCATAGAAAGTCTTTCCCGATAGGAACTCCCTTGGTAGACCGCCGCCATCATGTTACATCACCTTATTTAGTCAATCAACCTCATATAAGGGGAAAAAATACTAAAAATTTCGAAATTATTTAAATTTGCGTAGAATATAACCGTTTCTATCAATAGCAAATTACATTTAAATGGGAAATTTCTAAGAATATTTTGAAAGTTTTTTCCCCTCTTGCAGTGATGAATTTTAACAAGAGAAAAACTTACAATTTCTCTTCTCGATGCATTTGTAAGTTGTAATTATTTTTCGCAATTCCCGAAAAATAAAAATTGAATTGAATTGAATTGGATTGACCTGAATTGACTTAATACATAAATGTAGACCTAGTAATTTTTTATTGTAAAATATTATTTTCGTGCTGTAAGTTCTTTTTTTTTTAATTTAAAAAGGTTGATATATTTATCTGATTGACGGAATAAGGCAAAACACAATACAAACACGAGCTGCCACTCAGGAGGTTTCTATTTAGGCGTTAGACACATGAAAACCTGAGAAACTTCGCCTGGCCAGTTCATAAGTGAGGAGCGAACCCACGACCCTAATATTTAGTGGTTTTATCCATTCGGTTATTGGACCGAATGGATAAAACCACTAAATATTAGGGTCGTGGGTTCGCTCCACACGTTACTGGACCGAGTGAATAAAACCATTGAATATTAATAATTGGTAGTGGGTTCGAGTCTCTCTGATAACTGGCTACGCAGAGTTTTCCCAGTATAAAAGGCTTTCTAGTGGGCCTTTTATACTGGAATATAAATTGAGGAACCAAATTCTTTATTCTATATTTTTACAATAGATAATGTTCCATAAACAATTTTGTTTCTGTTTATAGTACTTTAATGTGTTTCGATTTAATGAATAATAAAAACAAGCGAGAATTCGTCCTATAAAAATGGAGTCTTCGAAATAGTGGTGTCTTCATATGGCTAAGGAAACTAGAGGGTCGTCTTGTGTGTCCATGGACTGTAATTAATAATTACCTCAATGTAACGATTATTAAAAGATGTTTAACAGTAAAATAAATTTACTGTTACAAAAACATCTTTGCTTTATAAAATCGTTAGTTGGGAAAGAACGAAGAAGAAATGTGAAAGAATAAAGCAATTGTCTCTTGGCCCATCTCTACGTTGCCTTTAATATTTAATTGTTAATAACGCTTATCCTGTTAATTATGATGATTTATTAATGCTGTATTAGATTTTATGCATCTCAAAAAAGCTATAATATGAAAAGCATACAGTTGTAATTATTTTTTGATAATTAGAACGTATATGAGCAGAAATTTAAGGTAAAATTTGGTTTTGAGGATCGGATAGTAGAACTGTGCATTTAAACAAGATTGAATCTAGCGACATACTCATTATAAATTTATTTTATTTAATGTATGAAAGAGTAGTGATTACATTATTTAATGTAATGAAAGAGAAAACACGAGTCAGCATGAGCTGAAAGGGTCTTTATAGACCCAACTCATGCTGACTCGTGTCTACTCTATCACCACATGAACTATAGTGTTAATTTGAAAGTTTGGAGAGTTTCATGCAATTTTTGTATCTTCTGGAATAAATACAGTCGAACCACCAATAACAGCCATTCCCCGATAATAGCCACCTCAAAACAGAGACCATTTTTTCTTTCAGTGGCCCTTGTTCAGAGGTTTGACTGTACATAGATTTTTTCCTCCTACAGCAAATTTATTCTCTAATTAATATTCAAAATATACTTTTTATGTATCTTTTTTATCACATACAAATTATGTAGGTCATAGGTTATACATGTTCAGTCAGTTATTCATTTAATAGACTATCCTATCATCTATCTTTAAATGTTTTTCCAGTTCTGTTTATCTTCAGACTTTATTTCACGTTCAGAATATCTTTCAATTGAAATATTTTTGTAAAATGTCAAAATAAACAACTCCCATTTATTTACTCTTGGCTCTTTCCTTCCAAGCTTACTCTTATACTCCTCTCATCATGTTTTTCATTCTTGGTGGAGTATCCCATTCTAAAGCTATATTAATGTAGTAATTTTGCTTGCTATTTATAATGGAAACAATGTTTTACTATTATAATTTAAACATATCTTAATCCGAGTATTTAAAATTGGTAATAATATGGTCAACTGAAATTTACCCTAATGTAACACATCCTATGCACGTGGCTGAATTGCAGTAATAATTCAGCCATACGAATACAATTGTACTTGATTTTTAGGTTCAAAAACTTTATTTATTCTGAAAGATAGATATGCATGGAGAAGCAGAGGAGCATATACATCTCCTTCATAAATATATATAGTGTCTTTAGATCTGTTTGCAAAGATAAAGACATGCATATATCTATTCCTGGTAACAATACCACTTGGATATGCAACTACTAAAAGGAAATAAAATTAAGTTTAAGTACTTACTTACGTAAAAATTTTAATCACAATTTAATAATTTTATAATAATTTTTATGATCATAAAATAAAGTTAACTATTTTAATGCTTCTTTCATATACTTAGGAGTTTGCAGAAAGAACATGAAATACTTCATACTACTAAACTTATTTATTTGTTCTAATTTCATGTTCAAATTGCTTCTTATGCTCTCTAACTGATTTATGTAATACAAGTTTACAACATTAAAAGTGAAATTTGACATTAATTAAATAAACTGATTCTGGTCATATTTAGTAATACAATAGATCTATGCCACTTAATGCAAATCAGAATTGCTAAATAAATATTCTAAATGCTTAAACTTAAGCATTAAGATCAAGCTTAAAACTCAATTTTGCTTTGTATCTTTAATTAGAAACTACCATTAATAGATATTAATCAAAGTAATAAATTTTAAGATTTATCAGCCACATTTTCCATTTCATTTTAACACCAGGAAAGATCACTGACCTAATTTGTTGCCAGTAATAGCTTGTAATATAATATAATATGTTCAAAAATAAAAAAAGAGGAATAGGAAAGGGATAAAAAAAACAATTTCTGTCAGTAATAAGGATGCTGGAAGATCTGTTTTAATATGATATGGTCAATAATCATCTGGATCAAAGCTTTTAATGGTTTTGGATTTCTTTATTTAACAGTTTACTTTTAATTAAATGATAATGTTATTTGCCTTATTTAACATTATTCATGAATAAATAATTAAAAGTTAATAGCCTAATGCACTTCATATTATTAATAGATTAGATATATTTAAGATCAGATTATTTGTAAACAGAATCAGATAAAACCCATTTGTAGATGATGTAAACAATGCATGGTTTACAGTTTTATCTACTTTATGAAATTGTTTTAGATATTACAAAGTCCTACCTTTTAAAACATTTTATTTATTTTTATATCTAATTTATGTAAATAAATGTCTTATTAGAATTAAGGTGATATATTTTTAAATTGTATAAATGTAAAGTTAGTAAATTTGCTACTTATTAAAAATAAGAATAGCGCTTTCGGTATGTGAATATATTTAGATTACTTTTGACCTAATTTCCTAACAATTCTCTCCAGTTTTATTATTTTTTCGTAACTCATCAAATACATTTAAATAAATTATAGACTTAAAACATGAATTTGTATAGTTTACATTTTTCTAGATGCCCGTTTTACTCTTTAATTAAATTGTTAGAGTAACTTTTCATTACTTTAGTAATGAAATGATGAAAAAATGCTGTAAATTAATGAATTTTTCACTCTTGAATATTTGTATACTATGTTTTATCTCAAAGTATATCAAATAGATGTAGTGAGAAAGTATAAAGGTTACTTTATAGTTGATTTGGGCAATGTCATTCAACATGATATAGTAATTATGAAATCAATCTTTGATAAATTGATTTAAAATGATAAATATTTTATAATCTGGATTAAAAAATTAAATTTTATTTTTTAAAATGTTTCTAATGAAAAGTATAAATGCTATTACAGTAGAGCGTCGATTATCCGAATCAATTGGGGTCTGGGGTTCGGAAAACTGATATTTCGGATAACCGATCACGCACGAAAAAATATATTAACCTATCCCATGTTGAAATTTTTATCCGTTGCTTGTCGCTTCGCGGTGAACTTTCGTCGATGTTAAGCCTAACGAAGACTATTGTATCGTTGAAAATTATTTTTTTATTTTGTACAAACAAAATAAATATATTGAAAAATATAAAAACAATAAAAAATATACTTCAGAAGTTAATTTAGTATCAAAAACGTAAAATATTTGAGTAGCCCAAGACATAGCCAAAGATTTGAGCGGCCACAGCACTGGCGAAAATTTAAATTTGCCG